GTCTTTATCTTGAATTCCTCATTCATCCCTAGCTGTTTCAGTATTGGTTAAATAATCCTATATATCCAGCATCAAAGGAAACTTATAGAAATGTTGGTTGTGTACGTTGTAAAATAATGGTAAAAAACTGTGTAACAAAATAAGGGAGTGTGGAAATAACTGTTATATAAAACCAATACATTTTTCCAGTTTTTCACTGAATGAGAGAGTGACACCATAAGTCATTACAAGTCAAGGTTGTTCAGCTTTTGTGTTGCAGCACTTAAAAGTCCCTTTGGACAGATTTGCTGTTACGTAAGAAGTTTTGGAAGCAACATATTTTCTGTGTGTCTGCATGGAATCACATTCCCCCCTAAAACCAGCTTTTAGAGTTGGCTTTAATGATTTTGGCATCCCACAAAACATTAAAATGGCTATTCTGAATTTGAGAGTGTATCTTCCACAAATCCCATGTTTCTACAACTGCATAATTATGGGTAGAGTTGTTCTTAGGCCCCCACAACAGCTTTTTCCTTTGCTGGTATTTACTAGAATATAATTAGTGAGAGGTTATTTTATTTAGATCGCAGAGATGAAATGGATTAAACTTGCAGCAAAAATAAAGAAAGCTCAGGACACTCTTAAGGTATCACCAAATTCGATTGTCTTTTGCAGCTCCTCTTAGTCATTTGCATAACAGCCAATGCCAATTCTTACCTGCTTTGATAGCAGTGTCTCTGTTAAAATGCAGGGAAGATAAAAAAAAGAAAATAAAAATATTGTTACTGAAGGAAGATAAAGGCTGGCTTAGGGGCAGAGTACTGGGAATTGATTTTTCTAATGCAGAACTATGTAAGCAGCAGCAGTGTGCACAGGGTCCAATTCTATGAAAATGACAAAAGCAGTGTTGCACCATTTTCAACAACCTTACCTCTTTCCTACATGCACAAAATGTCGTGATACCCACAAAAGGGTCTGACAGTGCAATATTGCCTTAAATCATTTGATCCCCACCTGCAGATCCCTGTGGAATGCAGTTAGTTGCCTTTCGATATTTTGAACTACCATGTTTCTCATATAATAAGGCCGGGTCTTTTTTTTTTTT